GAGATGCTGGTGGCTCATCGGATCGCGCGGTGCGGTGGAGAATTATTCCTTGTGGTCTGAATTTCGTTGTTGTCGCGTAAACTTGCCCAAGTCTCTCTCTTTCTCCCCTTCCATCTCCAGCGAGAGAGTTGAAGCGTCTCGCGGGCTGTATCGTCAGCGTGCGAATCCGCGAGCGGTCGCGTAAAACAACCGCGGTGGAAGGTACCATCATCTTATTCGGAGGAGAAAAATAATGTTATAATTCAGTGGGCTCACATGACATTGACTTCTCCAAGACGGAGGTTCTCTGCAAGCCATCCGGCTACCATGAGAGAGTCGTTCACGAGGCAATCCACATATACAAACACAGAGACAATTTCAACCGAGAAGATGGATTCTGGCTCAGCAATCATTGGAAGGACGTGATAAACCATTTCGGGTCTTGATTGATTTTGTTTTACGATGACTTTCAGACTGCAGTCCACTCACTTTCACGCGACGGTCAATGGCATGGTTTATCGCAGATTGTATAATAATAAATAGTATAACAGTGTAATGTTTAATATCATTCATGAGGTAATATATAGTGTCGTAATTGCATAGTGAATATACAGCAGTGTGGTATACAGTAGGGTTGGCAGAATAATACATAGTGTAATATTACAAGTCTAATATTATTATAGTATATAGTAACGCAGTGTATAATTCAATGTTGGGGTCTGTCTATGGCAGTTTATAATACGGGGTATAGTCGTGTGATGTAAGAAAAAAGATTAGATGGAGGCATATTATAATATTTTTTACGACATTGAAGTGTAATGTATGGTGACTTGTTGTTAGTAGCTCAGCTTATTGGAGATTATATTGAGTATATTGATGATATTGATGTAGTTTATATTTTAGTTTTTTATCGGTTCACTATATGATAGTCATTATATAGTGTATTGTATACCCAGTTACTTAATGTTAATAGCTCAGCTTATTGGACAATATATTGAGTACATTGATTATATTGATGTAGTTTATATTTAGTTCTTTCACATCGGTTTATTGTATGATAGTGGGTGGTTGCAGTTTTTTAGCGTCAATATACTAATTGCCTCTGTTGATATGTAAACTCTGACTTTAACATAGCCACTTCCGTGACCAGTTGCATGCTAATTCCTCACATTAACATCATGCTGATCTCCCAATTACATGCTAATTTCTGACTTTAACATCCTGCTAATTTTCTCACATTAACACAGCTTATTCAATGCTAAATTCTTCTGTTGATATGTAAACTCCTTTGTCAAGGCGCTCTTCTCCTCCCACCCAGCTTAAATACGCTGCCAAGCTTAGCAGTGTTCATTGGAGCGCTGTCTTTCAGACAGCTCTGTCTTCACCTGAGGACGGCTGCTTGCGTTGTGGCCGAAACGTCGTGAGAATGTATTTTATTATGTTTTATTTTTATTATTTTATTTCCCTTCTACGTGACTTTACCGAAAGAACCAAGAAGATGACGAAGAGTTTTTTTTGGGTCAAATCTGTGACATCATCATAATCACGACATCAGACAATGTGTTCACAAAGCACGCGTCTGTGTGTCGGTGTTGTTGTTGAAAACTGTGGGGTTTATTCTTATTTTACAATTTAATGGACAAATAAAATTATGAAGATATTTTATGAAGCCGACGTTTGCCCCTAATATAGATGCCACGTCCGCACTTTCTCTTTCTCTCTCTCCAGGTGTGGGTGTAAAGATGTATCCAGGTAGCAAACACAAACTAAGACTCAATACATTCGTCAAGAATAACACTGTAACCTTAAAGGGAAAAAATACATAACAGGCGACGTTTCGGGCAACGGCCCTTCTTCATCGCACATATTGACTAATGCGTTTGTGTGTCGGAGCGGTAGTGTAGCAGGTTCGCGTGCTGTGCTACAAACCCGGCGACCCGGGTTCGATTCTTTGCTCACGGCCACCACGAGTGATGATTTTTTGAACCGGTTATGGGTCTCCCCTTGGTCGACTCGGTCTCAAATGAGTACATCGCATTCGGCCGACAAAGGCGGCTCGGCATGGTGTTGCCCCCCCCCACCTCGCGTGCCATGTCGGCCTTCGTAGGTGCTACTCGATAACAGCACTCGCCCCAAGAGTCTGTGAAGGCGACACGGGGAATCTTTGTCTTTGTCTTGGTTGATTGTTGCACTTAGGCAACTAAAAGGTGTCCAAAAAGTGGGATCCCATGTCTTTAATCATAAACAATCTTCTCTGGACACCTCTCAACTCTGGTTGCGGTGTTCTTGTTCTCAGCGTCTCCTCCGTGTATCCGAGCCACGTGTTGTATAATTGGTATGAGGTTGTCTTCCCTGCAGAGCGAATGCACAACCGCGAGGGGATGACCGACCACCGCCGAGATGATGGAGTGTGCAGCGGGGGATGCGATTTCGGGGTCGAGGAATCGCCGAATTGTGATTGATGGATGGGATGGGTGACGTCGCGGGGAGGTAGTCCTTCATCCAGCAGTGGATAAGATCATGGTTTTCTTTTTACTTTATAAACGTGAGCTTACGCAGCGTGCTATCGAGGATGTTGTGAAACGACGGGCGAAATATTTGAACGTCGAACTTACTCTCAGTACACGTTCCATAAATGGAAGGTCAAAGAATCGGCCAACTGCGACGGTGGAGAAGTCCAAACCCTCAAAGCACATCGCTTATGAATGCTCCATCCGTGCACATCCTGGCGGTATCGCTGAAATCCGCACTGCGTCAACCCCACATCATTGGACTGGATGAGGAACCTTTGCATTCATTTATGACGATCCTTAAGTAAAAATAAAAACTGTTGCTTTTCACGATGCCATACGAAAGAAGAAGAAGAAAACTCTCATTACTACCGCGCTCTGCGCGTGCGTCTTACGCGGAGTCATGTGTGCAGACCGCGTAGCAAATGGCCCCGGCCATAGCAACGTGGAATTTCCACAATAGGCTCATGGTCGTAGTTGGTTTGATAGGTACTGCATTTTTCGTTTTGTTACACCAGCGTATGTATGCATATACGAAGGAGCAGACAAAATCTATTGATACCGTTGTCATATATACAAACATACAAACATGCAAACACATATGGCATACAAACATGCATACAAACATACATATATACATGCAAACGTACACACGTACATGAATGCATACCACATGCATCCAAACATGTATACACATATATATATAAACATGCATACACACATACATACAAACATGCATACAAACTTACAAACATGCATACACACACGAACAAAAAAAAACAATCCCTGACCACCCATATTGCATAGTTAAATACTGAATTACAGTTCGTGCATGTGCGAGAGTAAATCGTTGTACGAGACATTGAATTTCATGAACATTTCGTTTTGTCAGTGAAATGTCAACATAACTCATAAACTGTGCAATTCAGTTTTGTTTTTATACGAAATTGCACTTCGCGTGAATATGTATACGTACATATATATTCAACCTCACGTAACCACTGTGAACCAGACGTGCGTGGAGCCTGGTGGACACACTCATAAAATCAAATATCCACTGTATAGCCTTAAAATACTTTTGTGGAAAGTGCTATTAGCGAGCACCTATGAAGGCCGACACGGCACACGAAGGGGTGGGTAGGTGGCCGGCGCCGTGCCCGGACGCCTTTGTCTCCCAACGAGGCGATATTTACACATCGCACCAGGTACTCATTTAAGGTTGAGTCGACCTAGGGGAGGCCCGGGACCAGTTCAAATAATCGCCACCGGTGTTGGTCGTGAGCGAGAAATTGAACTCGGTTCGCCGGGTTCGTACACACACGCGTTTAGACGAGACAATGTGGATCATCTTAGAGATTCACTGCCAGGCAAATGAAGTTGACGGCTCGCAAAATATTCGGAAACGCATTACAAATTATTGCGTAAAACGCACACAATATATTCTGTTTTGCGAAAAATGAACAACAGCCCCTTTTCATTTAATGCTCGACTTTTCACGCTATTGTGTATGTGCTGGGTTGTAATGCATTGCATCCTTGATTTATCGGATAAAAATAAACCCATTGCGACCGATAAGGCATCATTGTCTCTCTTTTTTGCAAGGGCGATCTGAGTGTTACATGGAGAGACAATTTTAAAACACTGTATTCGTAAAGTATTTAAGCGTGACAATTTGGGGACTTAATTTGATCATCAATTCACACGGTGCAATGCGAATACTCAGTATTATAACGACGCAAGCGATATATAGAGAAGGAAATACCTGCATGAAATGAACGAGACTCGATTTGGCAAGTCGAGAAAATAAAGTCATTACATTAATAAAATGTGATTATAGATCCAAAAATGTTTTAATTGTGTTCATTCATCACACGCGACGTGGCTATTTTCGCGTGCAACGGGCCCCGCGCGAACACGGCGGCAGAGGTAGCGATTCCCCTTCAAGCCGACCAGCAACACACCGCCCTCGCCACCCTCAACGATTACGCACGCGTTGACATTAACGCAGGTGTTGATATCATGTTGTAGAGTCCCACGCGATCTGCTATTTACATCGGGACTAGCGGCGAACATAATAAAAAATACATGTGATCGTATAATCGCGCGCCCAGTAAACGCCGCCACGAGCGGACTTAACGCGAGCCACCGCTGCAAGACATCAAATCGGCGAAACCGAATACCGACAAATATTGCCCAGGGAGTCATTACTGGAACGGCTCAGAGTGGTATATCGTAGCTGTAATGTCAGTCCCATTAGAGCGCGGCGTGGCTTACGCGCACATTTTATCAATTAAAGTCCTTGCACGGGAGGGTGGGGGGTGCAGGGGGCGCGGGGGGAGAATGAGCAGGAAGTATCGAGGAAAAGACGGCGTTTTTTTTTAATTTTACAAATTAGCTCGTCTGTTTGGATTGGCTCGTTAGCGTGAGCTCCTGTGCTCCGTGTAAATGTCCTCGTAACTCCGCGTCGCACCACAGTCGGAGGCGCGTGCGTCCGTGTCGCGCAAGACAGCGCCCGTTGTACGCTTGCACGCGTGCCCTCCCCACGATCCCCTCTCCATCTCTCTCTCTCCACCTCTCTCCATCTCGCCGTGTGTGCCGCGGTTTCTCGGGTGGCGAGCGCGACAATTACGCGAGTTAATATTCATGTCGCTCCCGTCGTGACGACAGCCTCGGCGCGGCGGCCAATGGGCGCTGCCCGAGGCCCTGCGCGCGCCCTCATGCGCTATTCTCCCCGCGCTCATGCATACACATCACAAGCCGGGGCCACTCTGGGATGAAGTTTTTACTCGACTTCGCGTAAAAACGCGCTACGAGGCGTCGGAAAACTTGGTAAAAACGACACCTTGGGATCAATTGCGCGAGCCTTCCCCATCCACCCCCTCCACTTCTACCCCGCCCCCCTCCCAGCGCAACCCTCTTGCCAGTGCCCGGCCTTCGAAGAGACTCAACCGCTCGCCCGCCGGCCCTCCCGCCTATCCGCCCGCCCGAAGAGGGTCGCGCCTGCAAGCCACTGTGAGTCGCTGTGCACCGAGAGCGGGGGTTATGCGTCTCGATGATGACCATGAGCGCAATGGCTGACGGCTTGGACGCTCCCCACGACTGCAGCGTAGGTGGTGGTGGTGGTGGCAGCGGCGGTGGAGGCGACGGTAGTGGTGGTGGTCGTGGTGGTAGCGGCAAGTCTGCTTTCCTGGAGTTCGGACAGAGCGGACTTCAGCACCAGCAGATGCTTAGCGTGCCCTCCTCTTCATCAGCGACGGCGTCAACAGTGGTGGGCATGGCTCACCACCACGCGCACCACTACCCCGCGCACTGCCTCTCCTCGACCGGGCACGACCCTTCCTCGTACGCCGCTTCGTCCTACCAGAACCGACCGCTCGGCTATCCCTACCTCAACCCCATCGGCGCGGGCGCCAGCAACTCGCACAGCGCCTACGGCCTCAACGCGCTCCCCTCGTACCAGCCCGGATCGGCAGCGCTGAGCCAGACGCGCCTCGACGAGAGCGGTAAGGGAGTCGCCGCGTCCGTGCGGTTTGTTCGCTCGCCCTCTGCTTTTTTGCAACGCCCGCGAGCAAAAGGGCGCGACTCGAGCGAGCGAGCGAACGCGCATAGCAAGGCAGCGCTTCTTCGCAACTCGCCGTGACGACGCGAGAACTCTGCGCTTTCAAGGGCAGATGCAAAACAGATATATGCAATGGACTTAATGTGTAATGGCGATGTAAATGATGCTGTGTCTATAACGCGCATCGGCTACTCGGCTGTCCTAGTCCGCCTAAGTCGTCTGCGAGCGACGCCAAACGCGGACGATGTCGCATTCAATGGGCGTAGGGCAGTTACAGCCCGTGTTCAAAGTGCACTGCGTTGTTTGATGATGATGACGATTTACGATGATTATGGATGTCTCGTTTTTGGGGTGGGGGTTTGGGATATTTGTTTCCTCTGCTCTTCGGCCGCCCTGTGCCAGTTTCCGTCGTTCCTCGTCCACGTTCTCAGCAAGCGTTTACTCAAATTCCACTCCCTCGCGAGCCCGAGTTCACCAGACAGCAAATGTATTTCCGGCCTCCTCATGTATGTGCTGTACGGCAGGGGGCATTTCTCGAAAAGTCCACGCTGGTTTTTCTTTGACGAACGAGTTTACTTTTTTTGTTACGTATAGATAGATTTAGTTAATTGTGCCCGCGCACAACTGCCAACCGAGCAGCACTTATTCTGTTCAATGGGAGCGGAAGATGTCGGTGTAAACGGGAAGGCACCTCCGATTAGCGCGGTTGACTACGTATGGTGCGAAAGAAGTGCAACATACATACACACATACAAGGCGCACTTCGGGGGGATCGCGAGCATCGGGGTTAGACTCACCCGTGAGTCTGCACGGAAACAACTATGCTCTACCGGGGAGTTCATTTTGCCAGCTGTCGTCAGAAGCTGCGTTAGCGCCTCGCGCGTAATAGGATTCGGCGGTGCGTAGGGACGACGTCCCGCGGGCCGTATTCGTTTTGCGATGTCTGTCTCTGTTTCTGCCAAACGCATTCGCCTGGAAGCACCCCCTCCACCACCGCCGCCGCCGCTCCCCCAGCCCCCCAACTTCTCCCGAGGGCATCAAATTGTGTTTGTTGCGACGCTGATTTTAAGTCGAGCCCGATCGCGCATTCATCGGTGTTAGGGGTTGGGAGATGTGTTGCCTATAACTGATATCGACGCGGAGTTAAATAAAAAAAACAATCCGACAAATATCACCGCGACACGCGGTCCGCTCTAGGCCGCGCGTGCAATTTCCACGCAAAAAATCAATCGCGTCTACCCGCCGCTTGGCCGATCGCTCACTTTCGTCCAACGTTTGATGTTTTGGGCGAAGAGGTGCCCGACGTCTCCTCGTCTCGATCCGTCACCACTAAAACATTGTGCGGGCGAATTGTGGAGGCGATGAGCCATCGACACGCGCACGTGCGCGAGACGCCGTCAGACGCACCTCTCGTCGATGGAGATACGCGGCGCGATTTCGTAAACAACACGCGCACGCGTGCACCAAATTCGCACGCAAATACATGGAACATGTGCGAAACCACGCGCGCATAGGGTTTTCGGCGGATTAATTTGACTCTTCAAGTGCAGTCTCACAAACCATCCCTTTTCCTTCCCTCCGTAAAACGACGGCCCCTTTGCTCTCCATCAAGCAACACTGCGACACGCACGGCGCTTGCACCAAGACGCGGTTATAAATCCACGTTGCGCTGTGACGAATCCCGTGCTATGCGACGCGCCTCTATTCACATTTGAATCATCCACGACGACACATTCCAGTGTTGAGTTGTTGAGTAGAGGTATGCGTTTAATTAAACACGTGAACATTTGTATGTATTATTACTCTACGTTTTTTTGTTGCACGAATTGCAATAAAAAAAAACTTGAGATCGGGCCAGATGTGAATCTGGCTCCGATGTCTCGCGTTAATGTAAAAATGTTATTCGCGACGCGACGCTGAGAGAGCACGAGGAAAGCAGATGAAAACACGCGCACAGCTTGTGTGTATGGCTACTGTGTGCTACACCGAGTCTAGGTCGACTCAGCCTTAAATACAATTGCTATTGCGGGTCGCAAACACCAGCCCTCGTGGAGACAAAGGCGGCCAGCCTGGTCCTGGCGTCCACGATGCTGCTCTCCCCCTTCGTTGCACCATCTTACTCAAGTGTTCTTCGTCTTTGTGTGAAACGCACCTCCGATTAGCACGGTTGGCTACGGAGGGCGCGCAAATGAGTTTAACGTACGCACATACACGAGTGCAAGTGTGTACATTGTACGAATGTGACAAACGCCATTACAACATGTGCTTCCATCGGATGTCGCTTATTCTCCTCTGCTGCTCCCACGGTCCTTTGCCCCAGCCATCCGTGCTGTCAGCTGCCAATCGCGTCGTCGATCCCTGCCTATCATGGCCTCTAGCTCTATCACGTAAAATGTAATCGAGTATTGTGTTCACGCACAGCCTCTTGAGAAGCGATTGCCTGTAGCCGCTATGTAAATATACAATTTGCAGTTTAACATTTAGGCTTTCGCCAGCTATGTTGTCCGTAAGAGTTTTTTTTGGGATGAGATCGCGTAATTAGAAATGCGTCGTAAAACCCGCCACCACCTGACAGCCAATTAGTAAGGGTTGCCACAAATATGGCTGTCGACTGATGATGCTAGTTGTAATTACTGGCGAGACGTCGTACTCAAATTGTAAATGTTGCGGATTTGCTCTCCAACACAGCGGTGTGTTGTACGAGTAACGAATTGGCCACGTTCTGTTTACGCGACAAACCCCTTACTAAATTGGCTGCGTCGGGTGGTGGCGGGTTTAACGACACGTGGATTATTTACGCGATCCAATACATAAATAAAAATCCCCACCTTAATTTTACAATTTGCAATTGAATTTTACAACACGAACGCGTGTGCATCGCGTGCGTACGCTGGTACAAAAAAAGAACACCCCGTGTATACCGACCAGGTCTGGATGCGAGCACCACGTGCCGAGGCGCGCACACGCACGCCTGGATAAATATCCCTCGTCCCTAACACCTCGTGCACCAAGTCCAGGTACAGCACACACCTTGGCGGCACGGCGCGCACCATAGTTGTGTACGCGAGTACAAGCTGGAGTACAAACACCACCACCAACACCACAACGTGCACCACCGTAGCCGGGTGGCGGTGCTGGCTACGCTGCACGTGGCCGCCTGTAATCCAGCCACTGTGGATGGCACCGCACAGATGTTGCAAAAAACTCCCTCCGCGTTGGTCGTCGAGGAGGTGACATAACCCTGGCTCGCCATGAGAAGGCGGTACAGCACGTGGACTGATCTCCATCTGTTTCCATCCGTACGGGGGTCGAGTGATACCCGCCCCGTCGCGCGGGGCGTGGGGATTTCTCTGGTCGCTCCGGTTCCCTCCGACACGTATAATAATAACAACAACAATAATCATAATCACACATAATTCTTTCACTGAAAACAACTTTAATAAACAAAACCAAAAAAATCCCCACGTAGCAGGACCCTCCTGAAAGAGAGTCCAACGACTGAGCGTGACCTTCCTGGTTGAAAAAAAAAAATAACCACCGTTGTGTAACACGTCTGAGTCTTCAACGGCGTGTGCAGCACGAGCACGCGCGCTCCGCGAGCACAACAGCTTCCTGGCAGCACGGCACCTTCACTGAGCGCCCCCTCCCCCCGCCGTCCCCCGTGCGTGTCGCCTGCTCGGATCAGACCCCGAGAAGACGCCCGTGATTCAGAACGGGGAGCTGCGCTTCAACGGCAAGGGCAAGAAGATCCGCAAGCCTCGCACCATCTACTCGAGTCTGCAGCTGCAGGCGCTCAACCGCCGTTTCCAGCAGACGCAGTACCTGGCGCTGCCTGAACGCGCCGAACTCGCTGCCTCCCTGGGACTCACGCAGACTCAGGTGCGGTACGAGTGAGTTGTTCGACTCTCCCCCCTCCCCCACCTCCCACTTCTCGCTACCATTTCCCGTCGCCGGCCGGCGTAACGCACGAGCCCTTTCTTGGGTGCGTTTTAATATAGTGGTCGCGTGGATTTTTCTCCGAGTCCTCCGGCTTTTCCCTCCACATTTCGAATAAGCATCACGAGTTTAGATGATTTGGCCGCAATGCATTTCCCACGTGATAAGCCGCTTCGTTGAGCTATAATTTGTGATGACCAGATCGCTTCTGAAAACGAGCTAATGAGCTCAATATACCTTATGTGATAAAATAAAAAAAAATCTTTAAGGATACTCGTGATAATGATGATGATGGACGTATGAACTGCAAAAGAGACATTCTTTGCAAGAAATCACATGGGAGATGTTCACACCTACAACCTCATGTTCGCCGGTACCGCGTGGGCTTACCAACACCCATCGCATTGCAACAGTGGCAAAATGAAGGTGCGTAGCTGCCCACGGTCTATGTCGTTGTGGTAATTAGGCATACGGAAAAAAATGTCAATTATTATTATGCATGTACAATATCTGTAGTCATTGGCGCACTTGTTAATAATCGTGACCATTCGATACAAATGCACGGGTGTTTTTTTGTCGTCATCATCATCATGATCATTTTAATTTGTATCATCATTAAAGCACCATTTAATTTGTGACGTTTTAGAGTTTTGCCCACCTTTAGAATGATACCGATGGTGATAACAAAAGTGAGCTCGATAGTAATGGTCGTGGGAATTTTGACTTGACACGGTAACCGATCAACGGTCATGTATGGCTCACATATCGGGCCCTTTCTACGGGCTGTAAATTATGGTAATTGCCCGAAACGTCGTCTATTATATATATATATAACGTTTCATTTTAAGGCCAAGTAGTGTTAGTATTGACGACTGTGTTGACGTTGTTGTGTTATCTGTACACCGTGGCCTCAACGCTATAGCAACAACGTATACACATCTGGTTAATATATACATAAATGTTGTAAACATATGCCGAATTCACATTGAAATGATGATGATGGTTGCGTTCGAACCTTGCGCTCTTTAAAGTATGATAATTATGATAATAATTATTTTGAATTCATAAAATAAATTTTCATCTGGATTAAGCCTGGATATGGAACATTTCGTTTTGCCAAAGTTCCGAGCGTGTGTATTGACACATATCCACATCAGCTAATCAATGAGTAGCAGTGCATTTTCAAAGACACAAAATTGTCGTCACTACCCACACACTATCATTAGTAGCAGCAGTACCACAGCGGCGTGGTAAATTATGATGATACATCATTCTTGTTGTTGTTGTCTACATTTAAAACGCTGAGATCGTAGTAACCGAGACTCCCGCTAGCGATCGCACGCCGCAGTGAGTTGATGACGTGTGCAAGCGTTGCTTTTTTTACATTTTATTTGAGAAAACCAAAAAATGTCATGTTAAAAGCGGAAAGAACAATACTATACATTTATGCAGCATGGTGTAATTGAAGGATTATCAAAGCATCGTGACCGTTGTCTGTACGGATTGGCATGTTCAGCCATTTGCGCACTCATCAAAACCCAACAAAATGATAAACGTGCCATGGTCATCATCAACTTGATGGACGAACAAGAGAGAGAGAGTGTGTAGTGGTTAGCGCGCTGCTCTATAAACCCGGCGACCCGGGTTCGACTCCCGCTCACGGACAACACCAGTAACGATTATTTGAACCGTTCCCGGGCCTCCCCTAGGTCGACTCAGCCTCAAATGAGTGTCTGGTGCAGTGTGGAAACATCGCCACTGGGGAGACAAAGGCGGTCGGGCATGGAGCTGGCCACCCACCCCCTCGTGTACCGTTCCGGTCTTCATAGGTGCTCGCTAACAGCACTTGCCCCTACAGTCTGTTAAGGCTATACGGGGGATCTTGGTCTTTGTTTTTGCCAACTTTCAATAGGTACTGCTCTCGAACAGCACTTTCCACAAGATCCCTGCGTAAGGCTAGACCGGGGGTCTTTGTGTTTGTGCGCGCGTGACAGTGTACGTGGGCGTGTGTCCGTAATCACACGGAATCTCGTGTAATGCGCGTTTTTTAACGGGCAGAACTTTTATACGGATCTGTGTGTGTGTTTACATTCTCATTACATACGCGTATGTCCACTTTCAGTAACCAATCTAACAGTGGGATTTGATTCGGGCGTCAGACAAGCAATAGCTCTGCCACTTTGTCAAATCGTTCTGCACTGGGAGTTTTGTGTTTTGTATTGCGAAGTGGGTTTATCTTGGAACTGTTCGCGCGCCGCCGCTTTGGGGGGTCCACTTAGGGACGTGACGGCCATGCCCGGGTTTCTTTTTGTGCCTGAAAGTCAGCTTCTGTAATACAAAAAAATAATGGCATGTCAAGTGCAGCAGAAGGCCGCTTCTGTTGACGCAGCGCAGGCCTCCGTTTACGGCGCTGTCCGGCATGAGAGAGGTGACTGTGTTTACCATTTTAAACGCACGCCTGGCGAAGCAGATCTCACACTTGCCTTTCGCTGCCGGTCTCGTTGCTGCTGGCTTCTGTCGGGATATATTGATATACTGGCTTCTGTCGCACGGTATATTGTCAAGGTTCATGTTTACGTTAATTACATCTTCGGGTTTTTACCCTAAATGTAACGCTTTGGCCACGTGTTCAACGGGTTCATGGTGTTATCAGGGCGAATTTATTGCGTTATAAACACATGCAACATGTTTCAGAACATACCTATTTGAAGGCCGGCACACATACATATACACACACGAACGCACCCTCACGGACGTATATCTTTAACAGACTATTGGAATACATGTTGTTAGCGAGCATCTAATAAGGCCTCAACGGCACACGAGGGGGTGGGTGGCCAGCACCACGCCCGTGTTTACACACCGCACCAGTCGACCTATGGGAGGCCCAGGACCGCTTCAGATAATCGTCACTGGTGTTGACAGTGAGCGAAAATCAAACTCGGGTCTCTGGGTTCGTAACACAGCGCGCTCACCGCTACACAACCACTCCGCACAAACAACAACAACAACCGCCATTCGCCACTAAGTGGCGTTGACGTCACCACGATGCTTGTGCAAGGCTATGTGCACCTTGAGGCCACGTGAAGTGTCAAACGCCCGCTGGCAGGAGGGTCACGGGGCAGACCCAGATGCCACAGGTCGACTGACTGAGATGACTGGCTGATGCACCACCTGTGCCCGCTACTGTGCCAACTTGCCGTGCTTTAGCCACCCGGCGCTCCACTCGTTGTTGTGAGCGTCGCTCCTCCGCCCTCCGTTGTTGTTGGAGGGCGACTGCCTCCAACTGCCCAGTAGCAGCCTTCACGAGTCTCCTCCACAGAGGCCGATCTTGACACCAGTCATCGGCAAGTCCACTCAGCTCCACGTTCTCCTGTACCACATCACTCCATCTCTTCTCTAGCCCGTGTCGCACCCGTTTAGCCCCCTCGATCCGGCCGAACAAAAGATGTTTAGGCATCCGGTGGCTGGGCATGCGGGCTACATGACCCAGCCAACGCAGCCTTGCCTACCGGAGGAGCACATCGATAGGACTTTGTCCACATATTTCAAGGATTTGTGAGTTCCTCACACAATCCAGCCTGGTTAAACCCAGGATGGCTCGTAGGCAGGCCAACCTAAATGTTTCTAACCGGCGAAGATGTTCCATTAGGGGTGTCCACGTTTCGCAAGCGTAGAGAAGGGAGGGAATGCCCGTGGCCGAGAAGACCTGAAGCTTCGTGCGGAGTGATAGACCAGGTAGCTTCCACACAGCGTTATGCAACCGATGAAAAGATAATGCCCCTCGACTGATTCAGAGTGAGACCTCTGCTCTTAAACCGGAGCCAGTCATGAGCACATTGCCCAGGTATGGGAAACTCTCCACTCTCTCCACAACTGCCCCATCACCGATTGGGAGTTGTGGGGGTAGAGTGCCCGATGGTACAAAATACCCAGGCAGGTGCTTCGTTTTGGTGGGGCTGATGGAAAGGCGTACCACCTCTTAGTGGCCCACTCATGTTTCAGCAGCATCGCCTCTAACTCCTCCTCTGAGTGAGCCGCATATACCAGGTCATCGGCATACATAACGTGGTTGACCAATAGGGAGCCATTCCTTGACCGCACCCGGGCATCGATCAGTCTCCCATTGTATCTGTACCAGATGGAAATTCCTCCGGTACAGCTACTGAAGGCTTCACGAACTACGTGGTCGAAATAGATGTAAAATCATGTTGGAGCCAGAGGACATCCCTGTCGAACCCCAAGGTGAACAGGGAATGGCTCCAACTCCCGGTCACGTAGTTTTACCCGGGCCCGCTCACCATCATGAAGTCCTTAAATGATCGTGAGCAGCGGGTCAGGGACTCTGAAAGCACAAAGAACAACCCAGAGCCTAGGCCTACTCATGGTATCATAGGCCTTGACTAGATCAATAAAGCAGAGATGTAGACCTTGTTGGAATTTCCTACACCTCTGTAGGAAATTCCAACAAGAAAATATGGCATCTGTGCAGGACCGCCGTTTCCTGAAACCACATTGGGGCTCCTCAGCGTGCCTGGAAAGGCGGTGTTGAATAATCCTTGCCAGGACCTTTCCCGGCACACTGAGGAGTGAGATGCCCCTGTAGTTGTTACAGTCTGTGCGGTCGCCCTTCTTAAAGAGGGGGACCACCAGGGAATCCTTCCAGTCCTGCAGAACCAGTCCAGTGGTCCAGACTGTTGTTATGATGTCATGTAGGGCAGTCTGTGCACAAACGCCACCCTCCCTCAGCATTTCGCTTGGGAGATCATCTCTGCCCGGTACCTTTCCTGGTCTCAGACTCTGGATCGCCTTCAGTACTCCCTCAACAGATGGCACCTCAGACAGCCACTCACAGGGGGTGACTTCCTCTTCCAATATTTGAGGCTCCGCAGCCTCAGCAGGGTCATCCCCACTTTGTCCCACGATGTTTTCCGTGGAGGGATTTCCGCTCCCACAGGACTTCACAGAAATGCTCAGTAAATCTGCAAACCTGTTCCTGAGGGTCGGATATTGGATCACCGTTTTTTCCCCTAATGATGGTAATATGTGTGGCACTGCAGGTTACTTTTTTGATGGAATTAAGTAGGGATATGTAATCGTGGGCCATTGAGGCAGACTCCATCTCCTTAGCAAACCGCGACCACTACCCATCCTTCCCATCCTTACAGCGCCTCACGGCGCTCCGAACCTCCGAGCGAAGGCTGCGGTAAGCCTCCTCTTTCTCAGACTTGGGATGCTGTAGCCGATGAGAGTGGGCCTATCGCTTTTTCTCAGCCAGCTTGAACACCTCCTCTGTCAGCCAAGGTCTCTGGGAAGGTCTGGAACGCGTACCCAAAGCAGCCATTGCAGCTGCCCGAGTCACAGTCCTAAACCTCACCCATTTACCCTCTGGAGGAGTGGAGGACAATGCCAACCCCAGCCGCAAGCGATGATGAAATTCACGCTTGCAACTTTCATCAGCTAGCCGAGACCAGGCCACCTTAGGTTTGAATGGGGTCCTGGGTGTACACCCACCATCGGAGTGGAAGAATGGCAGGCGCATCTTACAAATGACTAGTCGATGGTCAGAGGGTAGATCAGCTCCACGGTAGGTCCTGGTGTCATGGACATGGGCTTGCATTCGCTGGTCCGTCACTATGTAGTCCAGCAGATGTTCTTGCTTGGACCCGGCATGCATCCATGATGTTGTGTGGATGCGCCGATGCCGGAACAGTGCGTTGGTAATTACAAGCCCATGGGCTGCACACAAATCTAGCAGCCTCCTAACGTTGTTATTGCGCTGATCTCACCCATGCCTTCCAATCACTCCAGACCAGGTGCCAGCATAAAGACCAATTCGGGCATTGAAGTCACCCAACAAGATAACTCTATCCCGAGGGGCCACTTTAGCCAGCACCTGTGACAGGAGGTCATAGAAGGCATCTGACTCATCGGCCTTGCGTGCATCCCTCTACGGATGTTTGTCTTCGGTGGGGGCATATGTAACCACGACCACCACTCCTCACCTCTGGTTGATGGGAAGGCGAGCCCAAAGTAGCCTGGGGCTTACAGCTTCCCACACCTCACCGCTATGCTCCCATGCCCCCTTGATTATTTTGTTCAGAAGAAGAGCCATACCCTGTTGTTTGGCAGTCTCCTGCCCGAGTAGAGGACTGTCCACCCCTCATGGTGGCAGGAGCCAGAGCCGGTCCACCGTACCTCCTGAATGCCACAGAGATCCAGGCGGTACCGGTCCAGCTCCCGACAGAGGAGTGGGAGCCTCTCCTCCGCAGTGAGCGTTCGAACATTCAACATGGCCATCCGTAGTGGCTTTGTGTTGTTTCTGGAGGAGCCCCGAGGGTAAAGATTCAATCTCTTGGCTCCGCCAAATGGGGTTTGGCCAGGGGCCTCCGGCACAAGCTTGCTTATTAAATTTTTTGGTCGTAGTTTAGTGGTAGTTAATTGAAGGCGGAGAGGTTACCAGCCCCTCGCATCCATCCAGAGCCCCCATTTAGCCGCTGTGGTGGTCACAGACGCCATGAGGGGAAAGGCCAATCAGAATTGGCCCTACCCCCCACAGCACTGTCCACGGCAGCGTTGCCCGTCCGGCACCACGAGGAGGTAGGGGGTTGTTTTACCGGACAAACACACACATACACATACACTGGCAGACATAAATATATATGGGCAAGAAGAGCGCACGTGTGGTCACCACATCTATGCCTCTATATAAGGAACTAAACAGGTCGGCTTCTCCTCAAATCTGGCTCTCACCTGATGAAGCTAGTTGTAATTACTGGCGAAACGTCGTACTCAGATTGTGAATGTTAGGGATTTGCTCTCCAACACAGCGGTGTGTTGTACGAGTAACGAATTGGCCACGTTCTATTTACGCGACAAACCCCTTACTAAATTGGCTGTGTCGGGTGGTGGCGGGTTTAACGACACATTTATATATTTACACGATCTAACCATTGCCAGATTATCCTAGTCGCAAAAGTAGCTACATATGCTATGGGCCCCGCACTTTCACGGGCCCTGCGCTAAATGCTTTCAAGCTTTCAATTTCACTTCAGTGATTCTGCACTTGCTCTATTACTATAGTACTATACTGCCTTCAACTTTTATGAACGACTGGGTTTTAAGGTTAGTGATTTGTCGTATTATCTGGCTGTATAGCAAATGAAAAAATACTAATTACTTTACTATGCAAGTAAAACATTTGTGTTTCATATTTATGTTTTTTTACTTTATGTAGGGCCCCTTTATAAACACATGCTACAGACCCCGCACTGGCTTAATCCGGCACTGGATCTAACCCAAAAAAACTCTATTATGGATTATAATGGTCGCGAAAGCTTATGTGTTAAACTGGGAAATATAACAACTGGTGTTACCAGCGAATCGTCACCCATTACGCGCCGATTCGGCCACATTCGCACGCTCTGCTCCCGCGCGCCAGTTTTGATCACCCACGGGTGCAAGGGCGCATGCGTGCGAGTGTGCATCGCACGCCAAACCGTGCGATCGGTAAATGTGCCATGAATTCGACAGCGGGGGTGGGAGACTGACGATGCATCTTGAGGACAGGGGTATACACGGTGGACGCGTATGAAGGATGGACATGGAGAGCGGGTTAAGGGTGAATATGAATTGAGCTGTGGAGGGTAAGGAGATGACATATAGAAAGGGGTCATTATTGTTTTTATATGTATATATTGAGCCGTAGAGGGTAAAGTGTGTGAATGTATGGAGCTGTAGACGATTCGAAGGTTAGATGGTCGGCTACGATTGGCACGGTTGGTTAAGTACGGTGCGAAAGAAGTTCAACATACGATAAACGCCCGCTCAAAGCAAACGTAGCCCCAGCGAGCACAAATGACTCCCGGCCTGTATTCCGCAGGTGAAGATCTGGTTCCAGAACAAGCGCTCCAAGTACAAGAAGATCATGAAGCAGGGAGGCGCAGGTCTGGAGAACAACCCACTGCAGCTGAACACGGGCTGCCTGCCTCCCAGCCCGAGCTCTGTCATTCACCCGCATCAACAGCAGCAGCAGCATCAGCAGCAACAACAGCAGCAGCATCAGCAGCATCAGCAACAACAGCAGCAGCAGCAGCAGGGGCTGTCAACATGGGACTTGCAGTCAAACGTGGCTTCTGCCAAGGTGTGCATGCCTCCCAGCGCCTACATGAGTCCATACTCTCACTGGTACTCACCCGCCTCGCATCACGAAACTATGCAAACCCCGGGACTCATGTAAGCCGAGTCTGGAGTGAAGGATGGCAGGGCTGACGGAGGATTGGCCACTGGTGGTGTGATTAATATTATTATTGATTATGACGATTGCTATTACTGTTATGATTACGATTTCACTTTTTTGCCGAAGCCGAAATCAAGCATTGGGCGCTTTTTTCTCAAGGTGCGCCCATCTTACGTGGGCGACGATGATGATGATTATGGTGGCAGTGATGTTGATAATGGTGACGAATCATAATGATGATTGCAGCTGATTTGAATATTTAAGTAATTGATGATGACGATAAGAGTTAGGTTGACTATTAAAACGAAGATGGGAAGTTATCACTATTATTGTTATTATCATCATCATCAGGGCGATTGTCATGATTGTTGTTGAACGTTACAATATGATGATCATTGATGGCGAAGGTTACGATGAGAAAGAGGAGGCAGAGATATACGGACGCTGTCTTTTTGGTAAAAAAAAGAAATGAAAAAACAAAACCAGTGAGCGATCTTCTCGTTTCACACGAAAACACGTGACCCCCGTGTCACCCTTGGACAGTCTCATCGGATACATTACACTTACTTGCTCTTTGTTGTTCCTTTCGTTCAATATCGTCTGTGTTGATCATCGTAGTGCCTTTGTTGTTTTACGTGCGAACATTGACGCGTTATTGTCAGTCGAAAGCCAGCAAGATGATCGAGGAACCTATACATTTTACACACAAACACGCACACACTCACAAAGACTTCCCCGTTGCACCTCCGATTTAGCGCGGTTGGCTACGTACGGCGCGAAAGAAGTTCAACATACAGTAGAGACAACAGACTATTGGGGCAAGTGCTGATTGCGAGCACACGAGTGACGGTTGGCGGCGAGCACCACGCCCGGCCGCCTTTGTCTGCCCATAGAAAATCTTTACGCACCGAACCGGGTGCTCATGTCGAGGTCGAGTCGACCTAAACGAGGCCCAAGACTGGTCCAGATGATCGCCACTGGTGTTGGCCGCGAGCAGAAACTGAACTCGGATCGTCGAGTTCCTAGCGCAGCGGGCGAACCGCCACACGACTGTTCCCCACACACGCGCGCACATGGACAAACACTCACAAACACAAAGACAAAGATCCCCCGTATAGGCCGAACAGAACTGTTGGAGCAAGTGCTGTTAGCGAGCGCCTATGAAGGCCGGCACGGCACACGAGAGGGTGGGTGGCCAGCACCACACCCGGCCGCCTTTGTCTCCCCAGTGGTGATGTTTACACACCGCACCAGGTACTCATTTGAGACCGAGTCGACACACACACATGCACAGTTGCCATGATAGCTACAGGAAAACGAAAACATGAATATGTAAAAAAAAACACAACTCTATGTACAATAACGTAACACGCACGCAGTCTGCGTTTGTGTTTCTGTCGTCATTGACTGAAATGTTTTGCAGGGCATTTCAACTCTTGTTTGTATATATTGCCGGGTTTTCTAGATGTAAATAATATATGACACATGTTTCGTAGTTTTTTTTCCATATTGTCACAATAAAAAAAGTAACGTTAGACTATATAACATCGATGAATCGTGTGTACTTATTCCTGTGTGTGCGTATGGTCGTGCGGTGTGGGGAGGGGTAGTTCAGCGGTCAGCGCGCTGTGCTACGAAGCCGGCCACTCGAATTCGATTCCAGTTCACGGCCAACAGCAGGTGACGATTATCTGGTCGGCTCAGCCTCAAATGCGTACCCAGGTGCAGGTGTGTAAACATCACCACTCGGGAGACAAAGGCGGCTGGGCGTGGTGTTGGCAACCCACCCCCTCGTGTGTCGTACCGGCCTTCGAAGGTGCTCACTAACAGCACTTTCCTCCTGCACGCTTGTCTTTGCGGGAGGCTAACCTAAGAATCACCACGGGTAACCAAGACGCTCTTCATCTGCTGTTGTCTAAATGTTCCCAGAGAGATGCGGGTGAGCCGAAACACAACGGCAGGAGAGCCGTCTCACTTATGCGGAAATGCAGCACTCCCGTCACACCTCGGAATCGCATGTCGACGTTTCGGGAAATGGTCCTTCATAGCAAATGAGATATGCGTGACAAAATAAAAATCAGACCGCACTCAATCTTTCACGTTTCTGTCCCTCGACGTGCAGACACAAAAAGATGAAAGCAATTTTTGCACAAACCATCAGCGCACGAGTCCGAATTATCGCCATTATCATCACGCCTTCTGGGAGTGCTACATTTCAGCAGCATTGGTTCAGCGCAAGCAAAAACTCTGGAGTCGTTTGAACACGCTAATGTCTCATCGGCAGCCAGGCTCGCTACATGAAACCATTGCTGCACGGTGCACTAATGCCAGACGTTAATTCGGCAAGGAACCGTCTCTGTTAGATATCCGAGTCCGAGTTAGATACTAAACTCTCGAACACACAACACATCGAAATCATGACATCTGCGGCTGCTGTTCACCAAGTCACCCAGCGATCAAGGCCTTCGTAAATGTGTTTCCCGTGGTCTTTGTTGACAGTTTCTCTTTTTTTTTAACCCGTTACACATACGGATGCGAGCCGAGGACAAGAATCGCCCAAGATTATTGGAAGCGACAAAACATCTGTGTTGCGCACAAAGGATCAGATTGCAAAGAAAAAACATAACCCCAGCAGCCATTTTCACGCCCCCTGCCCCCACGTCCCCTCCCATCCGTAAATTGCTTCAAGCACGTCCCCCCACCCCCTCCCAAATCGAATAAGAATGAAATTACGAATAAAAAAAAAATCACCAGGTAGCATGGAGAAAAAAAACACATCACGTGGTGTATGGCGAGAGATACCCCCCCCCACACCTCTCCGGCCCACCCGCCCCCCCTCCCCGTTTGCTCCCTTCACATCGGTAGTGACGTCATCTCGATTTATTTTTGTTCTCCCGAAATAATCCGAAAAACTAAATTAGGATTTTGTCCGAAATGTTGGTATCTTGACCAGAATTCAGGATTTTGTTTGGGAATTGTTATAAAAACGGGTATACATCCAGAGGTCGGTACGAAGTGCGTAGCAATATATATGTGTGGGTCTAGGTGTGTACGTGTGTACTCAGAGGAGGAGTTGGAGGCGCTGCTGCTGAAACGGGAGTGTGCCACTAAGACGTGGGGCCTTACCATCAGCCCCACCAAAACTAAGCACCTGCCTGGGTATATTGTACCATCGGTCACTCCACCCCCACAACTCCCAGTCGGTGATAGGGCAGTTGTGGAGAGAGTGGAGAGTTTCCCATACCTGGGCAGTGTGCTCATGACCGGCTCCGGTTTAACAGCAGAAGTGTCACTCGGAATCAGTCGAGCGGCATTATTTTTTCATCGGTTGCGTAATTGCTGTGTGGAAGCTACCTGGCCTGTCGCTCCGCACGAAGCTTGCGAAACGTGGACCCTCCTAATGGAACATCTTCGCAGGTTAGAAACATTTAGGCTGGCCTGCCTACGATCAATCCTGGGTTTAACCAGGCTGGATTGTGTGAGAAGCTCACAAATCCTCGAAAAATGTGGACATTGGTGAGCTCCTACGGCAAGCAAGGCTGCGTTGGCTGGGCCATGTAGCCCGCATGCTCAATCACCGCATGCCCAAACAGCTTTTGTTCGGCCGGATCGAGGGGGCTAAACGGGTGCAGCACGGGCTAGAGAAGAGATGGAGTGATGTGGTACAGGAGGATGTGGAGCTGAGTGGACTTGCCGATGACTGGTACCAGCGGTATCAAGATCGGCCTCTGTGGAGGAGGCTCGTGAAGGACGCTACTGGGCAGTTGGAGGCAGTCGCCCTTAAACAACAACGGAGGGCGGAGGAGCGACGCTCACAACGAGCGGAGCACCGGGTGGCTAAAGCACAGCAAGTTGGCACAGTAGGGGGCACAGGTGGTGCATCAGCCAGTCATCTCGGTCATCTCAGTCAGTCGACCTGTGGCAACTGGGTCTGCCCAGTGACCTCCTGTCAGCGGGCGTTCGACACTTCATGTGGCCTCAAGGTGCACATAGCCTGGCACATGCGTCGTGGTGACGTCACCGCCACTTAGTGGAGAATGGCGGTTTTTGTTGTTGTGTGTACGTATAAAGGGTGGCGGTAGTGTAGCGGTTAGCGCGTTGCACTACGAACCTGGCGACGCGAGATCGATTCCTGCTCACGGCCAACACCAGTTACGATTATTTGAACCGGTCTTGGCCTTCCCATAGGTCGACTCAGCCTCAAATGAGTACCTGGTGCGGTGTGTAAATATCGCCACGAGGGAAACCAAGGCGGCCGGGCGTGGTGCTGGTCACCCTCCACCTCGTGTGACGTGCCGGCCTTCATTAGGTGATCGCGAACAGCACTTGCCCCAAGTCTGTTAAGCCTATACGGGGGATCTTTGTCTTTGTATATACATGCATGTGTAAATGTGTGTATGTACTGTGTACATGGGGAGCGGTAGTGGCGGTTAGCGCGATTCGCTGCGAATCCGGTGACCCGAGTTTGATTCCCGCTCACGGCCAACACCAGAGACGATTATCTGAAACGGTCCTGGGTCTTTCTTAAGTCGACTCGGCCTCAAATGAGTACCTGGTGCGGTATCTATCACCCCTGGGAGGCAAAGGCGGCCGTGCGTGGTTGCTGGCCACCCACCCCTTCGTGTGCCGTGCCGAGCTTCATAAGTTCTCACTAACAGCACTTGCCCCACCAGTCTGTTAAGGATATATGGAGGATATTTGTCTTTATATACTGTATATACTTTGTAACATCCCTAGACCACTCATCATCCCAGCTCACGTTTGATGATGATGATGATGTTGCATACAGGGTAGCCGAAACATCCAAACACATAGTGCTATTTCAATTTATTTTAACAAATGTTCAAACTGCCATTAAAATTAAATTCATGCATGAACTATCTTGTGAAATAAATGTAGGATTTTTTTTGTAAAGAACGCGCGTGTAACCTTTGAACATTCAACTGCGCTTTGCCTCAATTCATTCAGGTCGAGGTTTCTAAACGACGATTGCGAGGTGATCCCTACAGCAAAAAGAAGAAAAAAGGAACCAAAAATAAGTATTAAATAATGATAAAATAGATCAAATGTTGACCTGAAGTATAAACAAATTACAATAGTGATGCGAGCGTTACAGCAAATGAAAAAAATACCCACGTGTCCCTGACATTTGGGCCACGCTGCACTATCCCCACCACCGGTTAGCAGTGAGCGCGTATGCCGGCTGCTGCCGACCTGCAGGTGAAGAATTGGACGTTTCATTGCCTCTGGCTACATTGGTGCGCCCTCGCGCCCTCGCTCACACGTCGGCCTGCTAATTAGGTGTAATTTTTTGGCACCATCCGAGATTAGGAGGGGGGGGGGGCGCTGGTAAAAGCTCCCCTGACAAAAGAGGCTGCGTAATTGCACCGCGCGCGCGCGGAGGGGGTCCCCTGCTTTGGAGTAACTGAGCCCCACGTGTGCACCTACAACACCCCCCCACCACCACCCACCCGCACCCCCCGCCTCGAGATACCTACCTGAGCCTCATAATGATCATCATCATCAGCCATGATCTTTCCACTGCTGGATGAATGTCACCCGCGCGCGTCGTCTCCATCCATCAGGGTCCTGCGACGTCCGCTGGCCTCATTTCGTCATCTCCACCACGGTGGTCGTCCTCTCGGGTCGTTGTCCCATGACCCCCCCCTCCACCCCTTTCTTTCTTCTTCGGTCCAAGCCGACTGACGGCGCGTATTCCAGTCAGAATGATGTCTCTATTTGTTTTGGTCTCTCGTTCACATCATTCTCTCTGTCTCGTGTGTAATTCCAAGCATGCACCTGTCTGCGGGATTTTCTGTTGACTTTGTCAGAATTTCTGTTTTCGATCCGAGTGTTCCATGGCAGGTATTCGACACCGATTGAAATTACATCTTCTGTCGGCTCAAAACTGACGTTCAATCGGTTTTCTTTTTTTAAATCTCGAGCTCTGTTTCTCTCACAGCACTCCAACCTGCTCTTCACGATCTATTAAAGTCACAATTGTAATCCCGGTCCACCTTGAACAATTGCCGAATATATATACATACATGCTATGTTGTGTTTTCAGAGTTCGGGCCATCCAATAATGATTACATTTCGTTCCGCGAACGTAATTGCACGTGGCTTTTCCTTTCCTCTTATTTATTCTTAAGCACTCGCTTTGCAGCCTTCTTTGTTCGGTTTTCAATAATTTCCTGCAGTTCATGAGCTTCATTTTTTTTATGTCATACTTCGTGATAACAACAACAACAATAATAATTCGCAGTCCTGTGTCTATACATTACCGAACTATCCCCATGCTAGCTTGTTTCACCATATACTATCGATAGCTCTCTAACAAAAGTACACATGTGTATATACATTTTAAACACCGGAAACATGACGAAACCCAACCACCGTCTCCAGCTGAATTATACCATGAATGTCACAATCCACAGCCATCAGTGGCCTCGCCAAGCTCATGGTATTGTGGGGGACTGCACACATTACAGTTCCCAAAGGCAGACTTTGCAGCAGTGAGTATTATCGCGCTGATGACTATGAGGAAAATCGGTGCTCAGCTCTTTTGAAACAAAAACCTATGAACTCACCTTTTTTATTTTACCACTGAGCAATATTTTTCAGAAACGACCTGGCC